GTCTATAAGGATGTTGTTTGCAATTTTTATATTTTTCGGATATCTGTTTGTAGTTTCCAAAATTTTCAAGGGTTGTCTATAATTTTTTGAATTTAGAGAGTGTTGTTTGTAATTTCATATTTTTAGAGATCTATTTGTAATTTTTATATTATTAAATGACTGTTTGTAATTTTAGAGGTTAATATACAAATAGGAATGATTTGAGAGGTATATATTGGCCTTGAGGGATAATGCTTGTTAGTATAATATTATGGAGTAACGTCATTATGAGGGTTTAAGTGCGAAAAATCAAAAATTTTAGGGGGTTTTCTGAAAGCACCCTAACTTACTGAGGCCCGGGGGTTTCATAACTTTTGGATGCTTATTGCCAAACCAACTTATTGAAGGTTTAGTGAAATTTACCCTTTAAAGAATTAAGGAAGGTCACGTGGATATTTTGTTTTTTTTGATGTGAGGTTAATGGTAAAACACCAGTCTCTTTTTATATGTAATATAAAGAAAATTTTATTATTGGGTGTTTAGTGAGAGTTTCAAATTTTTTTGGGGGTTGCAACATGCTCAAATTTATTGGAGGCTTAGTGAAATTTAGCCTTTAAAAATTTGAAGGACACATGACAATTTTTTGAGATGTAGGGCTAATAGTAACGGAAACTATATATTTTTAATGAATACTTATTACTTGATTAGGATTACCAAATATTTGATTATAATTAGAATTTTCTAATTATGGATAGTTTTGATTTGATGAGGATTCTTAAGTGAATGTAATATTACAAGTCCATATGTCACCTTTTGATTGCATAAGGTGGACACATGTCAGTTTTCTAGATGACTCATGTTGATTTTTTCTGCCTTTAGGATTACCGTCAATTTCTGTTTATTGCATAAAGGAGGGATAAACATATAGCTGTATTTTACATACTAGTCATCTTCTTTTACTAGTCTATGGTTTGAGCCACCTTTTACGTGAATATACAGGAAAGTGGCAATACCGATATTGAAGGAGTTGATTCAACAAATGCATGCTATGGAGGAACAGCTGCGTTGTTCAACTGTGTAAATTGGGTGGAGAGTAACTCGTGGGATGGACGTTATGGTCTCGTCGTTTGTACAGACAGTGCGGTATCATATCAAAACCTTCCCCAGCTGGTGCCGTGGTTCTTTTTCATTGATTGAACTTGCAATTCTTGGCTATCCTAAATCAACTACTCTGGCTACATTACAGCGAAATAAATTTCCTAGCTTGCTATTAATGATTGAAATGTCCTAAATGTATACAAAAGTCGTGGATCAGAAGTACAATTAAGACATTGCCCTCTTCCATCACTCCTTGAATATTTGATTGTTAGATATTTTGTTTTATTTTTCATGCATTTTTCTTATTGCAGTCCATGAATGATATAACTTGTTCTTCTGTACTAGGTTTATGCAGAAGGCCCAGCTCGGCCGACTGGTGGTGCAGCTGCTATTGCAATGTTGATTGGGCCAAATGCACCAATTGCTTTCGAGAGCAAATACAGAGGGACGCACATGTCTCATGTTTATGATTTTTACAAGCCCGATCTAGCAAGTGAATATCCGGTTTGTTTCTTCATCCTATTTTTTTTCCTTTTTCCTGGGAAAAATCTTTGTCTGAAGTATGGAAAAGATTAGTGAAATAATTTATCACTGCGGACAAGCTACAGCCACTCTTGTGACTGGAAGTGTCTGACTCATAGGATCAAACAACTAGGCCCTAATGTTTTGAGAGAACAAGATAGGGAAAGTCCATTTCTTGGGTCTTCAATATTATTGTTGGAAGTGAATTCTTGTGACTTTTCTCAACTTCTTTGTAGTTATCTAGCTTCTATATCCATTATAACTTTTTTGATAGGTTGTTGATGGGAAGCTATCACAAACATGCTATCTCATGGCGGTTGACTTATGCTATAAACATTTTCGTAGCAAGTAAGTGTTAATCAACATTTATCTGATGTCTTGTTTTAGCGTAGCCGTTTCTTTACCATCATGCTACTAATAATTTATTCATGTTATTAGGTACGAGAAATTTGAGGGAAAACAGTTTTCAATAACTGATGCAGATTATTTTGTATTTCATTCTCCTTACAACAAGGTATGCAAATGATTATAGGTCAACCCTCTGTTGAATACACTTTAGCATATGTGATTTGATACACTAAATGAATAATCTGATGTTAATATTTCTTATTCATTGTTATGCAGCTCGTGCAGAAAAGTTTTGCTCGGTTATACTTCAATGACTTCTTGCGTAATTCCAGGTGCTTACATCTTACGTTTAGTGTGCATAATATCAGTTTTGAGTAATTTGTCAATGTTTTTAACTCATGACATTGTCTCAATGTGGGCTCCGCGATTCTCATTGTCTTTAACAAAGACTTTCTAGGTTAGAATTTCAGAAGATCAATTTAACTCTAATTGATTCATTTAGCCATTTGGAGTGCGATAAACCAGTGTGTTTAGTTTAGAAAGGAGATAACTAGTTTTTGTTGGTAGATAGATCTTTATATATTAATTTAAGAACTTCTCAGGATGAGTGTATACAGAAGAGTGACAGATTATGTTCTTTATATGCTTCTTTGAACGAAGAAAAAAACTCGAGATCGTATGACATGAGAATATGTTTTATCTGAACAATCACGGAGCATTAACGTTTTTCTGCAGAGCAAGTAATGCATATAAAAATCTAACTAGCACTTGGTGGCCTGCAACGGTAAACCCGTGAAGCTGCAAAGTTTATCATGCTATAAACTTATCTTTGACATGAAGTTACCATAGTCTGGTCATATATTATGTGAAGTGAAATATAACAATCTAAGGACTCCTTTCTCACTTTCCCCTTTGACTAGTTAATCATATGTTTATATGCTGCCACTTTTTATATAGCTCCACATATTTTTCATTAGTTGTTGTATGAACTTTTAAGTGTGGCATGAACTTTTTCCCCCATTTACCTGAAGCAAACCTGTTTATCACATGAATTTATCTCATAAATCCTTCCACAACTTCCACAAATTTCCATGGCGAACACATCCAAATTGTCCCTGTATAGTTCTGATATGCACTGAATAGTTCACTTGCACTGTTGTACATAAATTATACCTTGTCGTTTTTGTGACAAATAGCTGAAAATGTACATATCACATAGGTACCAGTTCTTTCCTGTGTTTGGGATAGAAAGCTAATTCTATTTACAGATTTCACACTGCAAGTCCGGAACAATCATTGCATGTGATAGTAACGCACATACTGCCCTTCACCAAGTTCTTATGAAAGTGATACTATATACACTATCATAACTACAGAAACCTGAGTTTGTACTTGTTTCACACCGTTGTTGGAGGAAAGGCATGGTACATGTTTTCAGTTAAAAGAAACCGTGACATCACCACAATGTTAATTTTTTGGTTGAGCATTTCAAGAAGATCTTTTTTTTGGTATATATCATTTCATAATCAAGTCCATATTGCAGACCTAAAGTATTATAATACCCTAAATTTCTATTCTTCTGTATGTGTGTGGTGGTTTACAATCCTTAAGTTCACAATTTATGTTTTCTCAGCAATTCAACGCAGTTTATCCTTGTTACATCTCCTCTTTCCTTGCCTGAATCTTCTTTAATTGGGACCCACTAAACACCGCCCATCATTTTTTTGTGTATAAAATGTTTAGATAATCTGCAGTTAGTTATCCGTGAGTGTTTTGAGTGATGAAAACTTACAGTTTATTTAGTCTAATGTTATCAGTATACGACTTGCTGATAAATGTCAGCATTGAGAAAGTATATTTGCCCACTTCATTTCTATAAGTATTGGTAGCAAAATTGTGCTTTTTGGAAAGCCTTTATCTAGTTAGAGGATAATTTATGTGATATATACATTTGAATGCAACTACTATGTGTGCCTGACCTTTTGTTTTCAGAGCAGTACTAATTTTTTTAAATGTAATATATATTATATATTATAATATATAATATAAATTATAATCAGAGCAGAACATATTTTTTTAAATTTATATTACTTCTAAAGGATTTGTTTTAGATTTTCCTATGAGCCAAGTTATAATCCTTTTAGTTCTCTCGATTCTTGATGCAAGCTCTTCTATCGGATGTTCACTACAAAGACTGAAACGTTTTTGCTCTACCTTTTTTATTATTTCCATAAGCTCTGTTGCGAAGGAAGCAAGAGAAACATTAGAGCCATTTTCGTCCTTGTCTGGTGATGAAAGCTATCAGAATCGTGACCTTGAAAAGGTTATTCATTAAATAATGTAGTTTTCCACTCATTTTCTCATGGGAAATTTGTTTCAGTTATTGATCCATCAAATCTAATGCACAGGCTTCTCAAAAAGTTGCAAAGAACTTGTATGATGAGAAGGTTCAACCGACTACTTTGGTACCAAAACAAGTTGGAAACATGTATACTGCATCGCTCTATGCAGCCTTTGTATCTGTTCTTCACAATAAGCATAGCACTCTGGTGAATCTCTTATTTATTTTTATGTGACATTTTTTCTAAATTAAAAGTTTCTCCTCAAATACTAATAGCTTTCATGATCATCAGGTTGGTCAGCGGATCGTTATGTTCTCGTATGGTAGCGGTTTATCTTCTACAATGTTCTCATTTAAGATCCAAGATGGTCGGCATCCCTTCACTGTATCAAATATTGCTAGTGTGATGAATGTCGATGGGAAGCTAGACTCTAGACATGTGGTATGTCTCCTGTTACCTTTTTGCAAGTGAGCCAGTTAAAAGTTTCTCAAAAAATTATATGTGATGTTTTAAAAAACTTAACTACGTTACTGGAATTAGATTCACTTTATCAATGAATTGATGTTTCAGTTGATAACTTTTGCAGAACCTTAGAAATCAAAGAGGAATTCTGTTAGAATTAAAGGGAAAATGGTAAATTTTGTTTGTATGATATATGAGACCTTTTTTCTGCGGATAAATGTAGTTTTGGTTTGAACAGTGTTTTAAAATAAAGAAGAAATGAAGAATACATCTTTTATCTCACTATTAGGATTTAGAAGATAAAAATTTAAACTTGCTGCCCAAAGTTGTTGGAAAACCATGTATGTGGACTGCACCCTTGACCATAGTAACAAATTTCACAAACAGGTGAAATGGACAGTTGTAAGTTGTAACACATTGATTTTTAATTTCATTTGTAAAAATTTGCAAAATATTCACTGCTATGCAACTTTCAACAAAATTAATTTATTCTGTTCTGGGATTAACGTCTGTGCCTAATAACCATGTGTCTCCCACTCTAATAACTAGCAGCCATATATCATTACAGGCAAAAGCTTAATAACTTTATTGCAGTAGTTTCATAATGACTACATACATTAGCAAAACTATCGCAAAATAGTTTCTGGCTCCAAAACGTAGCAGAAGTTAACTTATTATTCTCACTGATTATTTAGGAGTTGCGAATTTGTGACTGTGGGCTCTTCCATATGTTCAACATAAATGGTTATATTTTTTATTATGTAAATTTAAATGATCATATTGCCTGTTTTCTTTTTCTTTTTGTTTTATTGAGAATGTGGATGTCTAGTATTCACTATTTTAAAATATAGATATGACATGCATGATGGTATATTTTCCGAAATATCTTCAATGTTTAGGATACTTACTTGTGCTTATATGTTACACCATTGTTACAATTAAATCTTGATAAAGTATAGGGTAAGAGTTTTGTATATTTTCCTAGTTTAATGTAAGAAATGACTGAAATTAACTGTTGAACTCTTTTTCTTGGTGGTTCCTTTGTTCCTTTGTTGTATCTAATGTAACGTGGCAGTAAATGTATTCAAGATGAACCCATATTAGATTGGATACTACATATTAGAATTTATTAAACAAATATAATAATAATAACAATAGAAATAAGGTAGTATGCTAGTAGCTATATCCGCTGTGTCCTTGATGCCATGACTGGAAAAGGATTTTACTCTTGTTTGTATCTCTTCTATTACCAGTCAATGTGGAGGATACAGGAGGCCTTTAAGCTATTTACCCTAAAAATGAAAACAGATTAGATAAACATTAAAATTAAATCACCGATAATTTTCTCTGCAATTCACTAAATCAATGAAGTGAACAACCCCACAGTTGGGTTATATGACCATGTTTTAGTCAGTTGGGATACCAGAACATCCTTACTACAGTTAGTGTGTAGGAAACTTTTGGGCATTCAAGAGATGGTTTAAAGTTCAAAATTATTATTATTATTATTGTTATTATTTGCTATCGAGGATGGGTGTCAGAGTCGTTAGCAGTTGGTGATGTTAACAAATTATTCTGTACTAGAAGGCTTGGGACAGAGTTTGCTTTGGAAATTCCACAAAATGCTTATTACAGAAGGATATTTTTAAGAACAAGCACATTTTATTGTGCTAAAATGATATCTATGTCTAGAAACTCAATTCCCCTGCTGCACATGCACTTGGGTGCATGTATCTTTGGCCAGTGAGCTTAAATTTGACCGGAGGTCCTCATTATAAACTTTCTACCATGAAAAAAAGGTTCCTTCTTGTTCTTCTGCCAGGTTTCCTACGATCATCGGATGTAATTTCTTGCTTATAGAAAAGAGCTGGTGGCAGCATAGAAATAGATGTAAAAAGACATTCAAAAATTTATCATGAACTTACATATCTTAATTTTGTTGCTTGATTAACAGTACTGTTTCACACTAATCAATAACAATTTGTTCTGACCCCAACTTATTTGATTGTGGTTGTCGTTTATGAATGACCGAATATCTAAGTTGTAATGTTCTCATCTTATTGTTGTAATATTTCATATTTTTGGTTGTGTTTTTTCCCTCCCAGTTTCCACCAGAAAAGTTTGTTGAAACGATGAAGCTGATGGAGCACCGATATGGAGCCAAGGATTTCGTCACGAGAAAAGACACAAGTTTACTGTCTCCCGGAGCATTCTATCTCACCCACGTTGACTCTATGTACCGAAGGTTCTATGCTAAGAAGGGTTCAGCTAGCAAATCGATCTCAGCCACCAACGGCACAATGGTCAATGGCCACTGATGCAACTTGGCATGGGTTTGAAATAATCTCGATATGTTAGCTTTTAATGTGAATGTGGGGGTTGATGTGCCCTGATTTCGTGTCTTCTAAGTGTTTGTGTTTTTAATTTAAGTTGTGATGTATGTTACTTGTTTGATTAGTTACTAAAGTTGGTTCTAGTTCATTTTTCTTAGTTCTGTTGGTTATTATGTTGGTTATCTGTTACCAGTATCGATTCCTCGGTAAGAGAATCCCTTTGATGGGAGGTATTGACAACGAATTGGATGTTGCATTTGTGTGAGCAAGCGAATAATTAGCTGTTGAGAAATTAAGATTTTTCGTAATGTATATAAGCACAATAATTCTTTAATTTTTTGAGGAAATTTTTATTTTTTACATTATATTTTAGATTTCATATTTTGCATTTAAAAAAACATGTTTCTTAAAAAATTTTGAAATAAAATTGAACTTTTAAATTTTACATTTATTTTTCTAAATATGTATCGAATATTAAAAAAGTAATATAAAAAATTGATTCTTTTGGAAAAAATATGTACTTTCTAAGCTTTCTGTTGCCTCTGGCGTCGCTGTTACCACTGAGGCTGCGACTATTGCGACGTTTGCTGCTACAGTTGCTGTTGTGGTTGTAGTTAGAATATTTGATTCGCATCCACTGCATTTGTTGGCGCCTTCCTTTTACCACGGGGGACGAAGTTCTGCTTCGGGGGATTCGCTACCGGTTGGCCTCTCTCAGCCTTCTTCCTTTTGAGGAAGTGTTCAGCTTGCTCTCTGCGCACCTTCAAATCTTTCCAAGTTTTAGACGGCACCTCCCCCGTGGTTTCCAGCACATTCAAAGAGAGATTGTTGTGACATGTTTGGGGGATGAACTTATCCGTGACCTGATCTCGGCATCACCTTGTTCCGAAAGCGCTTGACGAAGTTATTGACCGACTCACCGTCTTTTTGCTTCTCATCGAATAGCGTTCCGATTGATACTTCAGTGTTGTCATCGAAGAAATTGGTGAGAAATATGCTCTCCATGTCGTCCCAGGTGTTGATACTTCCTGGCTTGAGACGACAGTACCAATCGAAGGCGGCCCCGCGAAGGGTGCCAACGAATGACCAGACCATCAAATGTTCATTGCCAGAGATTACGCCAGGTGGGACTTGAAGTAAATTAGGTGTTGAGTGAGTGAGCGTCTCCCGTCGAATGTCGTGAAGTTAATTAGATTAAATTTCGCTGGATACGGGATCGACTCCCACTTTCTTGTATAGGGACATGGAACACCGATCTTTTTCACCTCTTGAGCGATCATCAAAACATTGATTTTGTTCTCAAGGTCCTTCATCTTTTCGTCCTTGCCTGTATTTTTCTTCAGGCGATTTTGGGGAGGGACAACGGGACCACCCCCAATGTTGTTATTTTCGATGGGACTACCCCTAGCGTTATTGTCTTAAAGAGGGAGGTCAGCATCGGCATTCTCTTCCACTTCTGGGTCGCTGTCTGCCTGATTGGCATTGTTGCGACGGCTAGACTCACCAATCTGATTTGATAAGGCTTGAATCTGTTGGTCGTGTATTTCTCTCATTCGTTGCATGGTTAGCTCCATCTCAGCCTTGAATTCTTCTTTCTGCTTTGCCAAAGCTTCTTGAAGTAGTTGAGTCATTTGTTCGGTGGTGACCATGAACGTTTCACGAGATCGTCCCATGCTAGACGTTGTATTATCAAAGGCGACCGCAGAGCAAGCATCTAATGTTTCATCATCTGAGGAGTGTCCTCTGTTCGGCCTAGGTCTGATAGTTCCCGACCGTAACCAAGCGAGATGCTGGGATGCCCCTGGAAAGGGATCAGGACTGGAACATCATGTTGATTTTCCCTTATCGGCCATATTAATGCTAACTTCTGGAAGTTTGTCATCATGACCGGAGGGTCTTTTGCAGAAGCATCTTGATTTGGAATTAGATGCTTCGGTGGAGATCCCTTCGAATATCGAGACCCTCTATGGAGCGGCCTTGGGGCAGCTACACACTGATAATACTACCCTGATTAACTTTTCACACGAACAATAAGAGTCCGATTACGAGATACTTATCTTTCGAGATTTCCTAGTACCCCTAGCCTGATAGTATAAATCATCGGCATTATGGCCAGAGCAACCTATCAGCTGTTGACATGATTCCCTAGGTATGACGTTGTCATGTAACGGACACGTCTCCTTCTAAGGGATGTAACGCCTTGTTGGCGCTATTAGGAGTCGCACATTTAGATCCACCCTTGCGAGTGTGGAATCTCAACAGGCTCCTGAACCTAGACACGCAACCCCAAGCGGGTGGTTACGGGTGTTTTCCTGATCTGGGATGGCTTCAACTTGTTAGGAGGACACGTACGACCCCCAGCCTAAATAGTCACTTGGGATTCATTCACCGGACCCAAGCGTTCTTTCACTGGAATTTTACCCCGATCTTCATGTAGATGACTAAGGCAATCCGCCATTGTTTTCTTGATCTTGGGTGAATTATCACTGCCGTGAGGCTTCACCAGAGGTACGGGAGCTGAAGGAGCAGAAGGAGGCTGAGAAATAGCCTCGGAGCTGGCACCAGGTGCGAAACACAGCTGGTGTTTCGCCCTAGGTGCGAAACACACATTGTGTTTTGCCCCAGGTTGGGGCACTTCGAAGGTTTTCCGAGTTGATTTTGCTGCTGTTTTGGCTTTCGGCACCCAGACTTGTTTGGATTTTAGTGGTTCTTTGGCCACCTCTTCCTTCTGTAGATCTTGTACCTTCTGCACAAGAATCCGTGCATGCGCGAGAAGTGTGCGACGCTTATGGATACGGTCTTTGAGAGTTGAACGAGTCCTTTTGACATGAACCTATTTGTTGGTTGCCGGTTTGGAGGAGGGATCAATGATTCGTTGTTTTGGCGGCAACTTAGTTACTTGGCGCCTCCTAAATTCCAAATTTGCTTAATAGTGGAGTCCGTCAACCTACTCCAGAGCTTTGGCGAATTGACGAGCGAGGCATTGGCACTGCCTCTGATGAGCCCTCTTCGTCAGAATTGGTGCGCCTTTAGCGAGCAACTCCTTAACTGGAGAGGAGTTGTCGTGAGTAGCAAATCTGGCTTCCTTGGATGCTAGAGGAGTGTTGCGAGAGGAATCAACAACGAACGGGCAAGAATCATCACCCTGGGTCTTCAGATCTGGAGACCAATGAACCTTCTTCAGCGAATAAATCTTCCTACACTTGCAAAGGGAGGATGATCTGGAGGAGGAGGATGAGACATACTCCTCGAACTTCTACTGGTCGAACTCATACTCGACCTCTACTTCAACCGAGATCTTGATCCTTGGTTACGATACGACAGCCTCGACAGAGAGGCTGTTGGCTCCCACTGTGGTCGCCAGCGTGTTTGCGTCGTAATCTTTTTCATTGATGAATCCATTACACGTTTATCATCTTACAGATTTAAAAAAGAAAGTTAGTCTTTTTATAAGACTTTATTACACAATAAAAACAAACCAGGGGATCTCCTAGAAACACATGTAGGATTGTTTATCGATCGCTGCTTGCATGAGATCTTTATCTATGACGGGGACTCTTTGATCCGTGGACCACCGAGTATCAGATCCGGTAGATCTTGTTTCACAAAGAAAATAAGAACTGAAGTAAATATCTCAACAAGGTGAGATAAGTACTCTTCTCAAGGTCAAAACGGAGTCTGATCTTAAAGAAACAGGTGAATGCTGCTGAAGAGGGATGTAAATCTCTCGAACTCTTCTTCTTTCTGCTAAAGAACTCGCTAAGACTCACCTTTAAATTTGAAATTTAAGCTCCTTGCTCTCCAAAACATCAGGGCTTCGCCTCCAAGTCCGAAATTCTCGCGCCCTATTGTAGGTGTAAAATTTGGTTTCCCGAAACGGGGATCTCGTTTGTATTGATAAGAATAGCTTATTACAAACTAATGAATCAAAGTTATAAGAGAGGCGGAGGGTATGCCCTCCTTGTTTAACGTGTGGTCTTTGATAGCGATAGGACGCCTCCTCGGTTCTCGCACCGAGTTTGCTTCCCTTGGATGATCCGAACAAAGTTGCAGACGAGCTTCAGTTCTCAATAGAAGCTCGTGTTGATCAAGTTTGAGTTCCCGAGCTTAGTGGCGATCGAGGCCGAGAGCTGGAAGGAGAGGCTACAGTGCAAAACTAGTGCAAAGAGTAGTTGCTAGCTTAGTCAAGGGGCTAAAATGATTCACTGGAAGAAGCCCTTTAGCAAACCCTCTTTTCGAATCACGAATCGAACCTCACCGAACCCCTTTTCCGTAGCCAGGAGAGGTTCTTAAATAGAGATGAGATAGCATGGTTATCTCCTCAAATCATGGGATGTGACCATGCACTGTTGAGAGATGCCATGCCTCTCACTTGTACTGTGGGTGGCTGTTTGAGGGGCTCGGAGCACTGTAGTCCTTCCCTTCACGTCGTGGGAAATGGGAAGGCCCATCCCTGTACACGACATTGTAGCTGCCTAGTACTTCTGGCGAGATTGTTGGTTGCCTAGTTGACGTCCTGAACGTGCAGGCGAACCTGGCGCCTGAATGAACTTGACTTGTGCAGGCGAGTCTGGTATGCAGGCGAGCTCAGCGACTACGTGGATTTGACTGATCACTCGTACTGTGAGCGGCTGTTTGAGGGGCTTGGAGCACTGTAGTCCTTCCCTTCATGTTATGGGAAATAAGAAGGCCCATCCCTGTACATGACATTGTAGCCGCCTAGTACTTCTGGCGAGATTGTTGGTCGCCTAGTTGACGTCCTGAACGTGCAGGTGAACCTAGCGCCTGAATAAACTTGACTCGTGCAGTCAAGTCAGCTATGTAGGCAAGTTTGAACGAACTTGACCCATGCTGGCGAGTCAAGTATGCAGGCGAGTTTGAACGAACTTGATCTGTGCTGGCGAATCAAGCATGTAGGCGGAATCGATCTCTTAATGGCGGGTTTCTTTAGGTCCTCCTGTGGTCAAGGCCATTTTTATAGCCTACAAGACACCCTTCAAAGTTTTCAGACCTAAATCACGTCGAAAATGGGGTCTGGAACACTTTGAATGAAAGCAACCATCGTTCCATAACTTTAGGTGAATTTGATTCCTCTGGTTAGGTTAGGCCGTTTGGTGCCAACAGGTGGGATTGGTGCCTCTTGAGTTGGGTCCCCCC